GCCTCCATATTTCGATAGTCACACGGTGACTATCAGTTAAGGGGGGGGTGATGTAACGGGGCAGCCCGTTACATGATATTGTCACTTAAGGAAAGTGACAATAAAGAATATAAGATGGATATTCTTTAAACAATATCACCAAAGTGGTGATATTGAAGGGTCGACCAAAGGGTCTGTTCATTGGTTGATATCGTGATGATATCAACCCACCAATCGCCGCAAGACGCGCGCAATGAGTGGTGACGAGACGTCACCATACATGCAGTTATATTAGTATAATTGAATTAAGTCAAACGAAGAGACAGTAGTTTAAAGACTTAATTTATTAATATAACAGTTCTACTTTTACCCTACCTACGCTTCCTCGCTCGCCACGTGTACGTCCGTCGGGGCACCCAAATCCCTTGCGTTAAGTTACGCAAGGGTGTGCCCCGTTACATGTACGCATTGCGTATCATCCATTTTCTGTGTACGCTTATACCGTCTTAGTGTGCAAATTTGTGGCGTAGCAAACTGTCACCGTCTCTATAGTCGCTATTACTTAAGCGTTTCCATTTGGTCGTTTCGCACTAGAAAGAACGTGCCCTGTCGCTCCCATAAGTTGAGGTAATATGGACCTTAAATGCGAAGTGTGTAAGAATACCATTATGGGAGGCGCAAGCTACAAGGGCAAAAATGATATCGTATTAATGAGGACGGTGCAAGCTCTCGTGCCTTTTGGTACTTAAGTGCAGACGACTGTATAACATTTAGGTGTTCTCGTGCATATTGCGTATAATCAAGGTCGGTGGCTAGGACACGCCGTGAGCTGTGCTGACGAAAGTGTTGCCGTGTTTGTTTCATGACGTGTTTTCGTGCTGATGTCGCTGCTTGGTGTGCTGCTGCAGCTGGTGGTGGTGCCGTACAAATGTTTTACCTCAGTTATACTTAGTAATATAAACTGAATGATAGGCAACCCTTCCTATCGTGATGTATCCTTGCGTGACTAGTGAACACATACACACAAACAATAAATCACAACTACAACAGAAAAGACAAACGAAAAGTCAAAGGTTCACCGCGCGTGCCCTTACTACTACTATCTTGGACGTTCAAAGTCGCACAAAAAGAGTAATGGACCAGAATGTTTGGACAAACAAGTTTCTCTGACGATAGCTATCGGCAAGATTTTCGCAGATAACTTGTAGCTCCACGGTTCTGGTCTTTCACCGTAAACATATTTGTTCGGTAGAACAATTCGTCTACCATTAGAAGTGTACATCTCCATCGGCTGGTCAGAATTCGATGCTGTAAATGGGACTTGCAAGCACATTACTAGCATGGCTCGATTCGACAAAACCTTTTCGCGTTGTTCGCAGCTGAGTTGATGGATGACGTGTATGACTTGTTGATCTTCTCGTCGCTTTGTAGCGATCCTCTATTGGACACCAGCTAACCGCACGGAGACGAATCCGATGAGACACCGATCGCTCGTCACGTAACGAGAATCGAAAGCAATTTGCGTTATACTTCTTTCAGCTTTCACGCAGCTAAATTACACAGCGCTAGGCGTCAAGCATTTCTCGGATTCCATGCCGGACCCGACCGATTGCGAAAGTGTCAGTAAAGGCAATGATTAATGTGAGACAAAGAAATATATGGTATTGGTTTTTAGCGATCGTCGCAACCACGTCAGCCGTGTCAGACCTACCAGAAACGCCGTTATTTGGCTGCAAAATACTCAAGGTCCGACTGCGCAGGAGCATCCGTAAGATATGGTTGAATCGACAAAGCTGCGTGTGTGGGACGTGCCGTCTTATATGTTGTAGCTAACACGTCTCTAGATCAAAGCGGTCGATAGTGAACGTGTCGAATTGTTGTGCTGAACGAATGCGAAAGAATCAGTTAAGACCAGGGACAGCAACTTCAGTACACCTAAATACGTGTGTATTGCATTACAGCAGAGCGGATTGTGGCGGTCATCGGGACACAATTTTTCCACGTCAGCACACGTGACTTGAAGCAAATGTCTGTCTGTGTGGTGAAAGCAGCTGGTACAAAAAGCAGCTAAGCACGGTCTACTACTACATTGTAACTGGGCACCGACAACGACGTACTGGACTACCAGTACGGAGTTTACCTTTCACTGACAAAAGTGAAGGTCAGTGCACACCTAGGTGTAAACACTTACACAGAGGAAGGCAACGACCAAGGCAAAGTCTCTAGTCGTGGTGAAAGTAAAAATGTTATTTGATATAATTAAGTCCTATAACTCTAGTGTCTCTGTTCGTCCTGACTTAATTATATCAATCTAACCAAACGAATGATGATGTCTGCTCACCGCCCATTGCGCGCGTCTAGTAGCGATTGGTGGGTTTATATAACCATCACGATATCAACCAATGAGTAGACCCTTCAGTCATCCCAACGCTATCATCATCCTTTGTGATATTGTTGAAAGAATATGCAACGTAATATTCGTTATTGTCATTCTATCCTTAATGACAATTTCATGTAACGGGCTACCTCGTTACATACATGCTGACGTGCGTTAGTTCGAGAAGTGAGTGCATTCATAACAGCGGACGCTACGCCACATTATTGGGTGATCTTCACCCACTCTACGTGACAACCAGCAAAGGTTCCGTTACGCCCGCCTGTCAAGCTACATTGTCACTACCTACACCCTCTGACTCTGGCGAAGATGGCCGTCAAAGATGGCTTGAACAGCGTTGATCATGGCCATTTCCTGGCTGGTCGAGCAACCGCAAAAGCAACAAATGCCGAGTGGCATGCTTACTCGGTGCGCCCTCAGCGGTGCTATTCGCTGTTTCGATACAAGAAGCTCCCAGTGTAGGTGAGATAAGTACACTACATGTGCGCGGTGTCTTGATCGAAGTAGTTCGATCGAGGCTTGTATCCTACGGTCGCCGAGATGTCTGCTGTTCCTTCACCACCAAATCAGCATAAGTGGTTTCAGCCCAACCATATAATGCCAACAAAGGCTGCATAGAGCTATGTAGGCGCTTACAAGCTGACACGTGAATGCATCAGATGACAGACGACTGAGCTGTTGGCTCGGATGTCAAGCGCTCGGTCTTCGTCTTGGTAAGATAATTGTCGACGGTGGGTACCGGCGATGTGAGATAGCGATACTCACGATGTTTGATTGCCAAGTGGAGATGCATGTAACTTGTTTGCCCCTCGAGTTCGTCATTTGGTTTGGTCAAAGAGCGATCATCCACCCCAACGAACGCAGAGAATGGGACTCCAAAGCGAGAGATCGGCGGACAAGATCGAGAAACTGTCATCGCAGCGCTATCTTACAGGATAGGGCCAAGGATTGGAGTGGTCTTGATACTACTTGTCAAGATGTCGAGGATAGAAGTCTCGTCCATTACCAACTCCCGTTTTGGAAGATGTAGAAGCTGACGAGGCAGATGCGCGTGCGAAGCGGCAAATGGATATGATCGAGCTACAAACGTGACGTTCAGATTATACTTTCCGAGGTTTGCTTCACATGCAAAGCAAAAGGGACATTCGTCGATCTCGGGGTCCTTCTTCTCTTGAGGAAAACAGCTCGTGAGTTAGAAACGAGAAGAAGAGCCCTCTACGAGTCTGCAAAACTACCAAAGCACTAACTGTCCACCGCCTCGTCTAGCCTAACTCTCGATATGCTGGTTGGACGGCAGATTGCATTTCGAGCAGAGTGAGGATGCATGGAGGCTGCGGCAGCACCCGGGACGATAGCAAACGATCGCTACAAATTGCCTCGTATGTCACGCCACTGAGCAACTTGCTGAAAGAGGTGAAGCATGACATGAATGCGAGGAACGATCGATAAAGACGATTCAATACAGCGTTCGACGGAAGCGTGATCACTTCGTGCTGCTGCTGACGAGACCGAGAGACGACTCGATATACACACATAGCCAATCGAGTCCCGAGCTCTGAACGTCGCATGCATATTGCATAATGTGACCAACGTCTATCTCCTGGTTGAAGCTGTCCTGATGCTGGTCTTTGGACAAAGCAGTGGCACCTATAATTCCCATCGAACAGCCGTGTGCGCAGAGACGTTCCACATGTAAGGCGATTCGCTACACAGGCCAAGTCACAACAGTCCTTTCCGCTCCACTGCGTGGCGTGACCAAAGTGGATTCGCGCAATGTTACCACACGGATATGACTACCACTGATGAGGTGTTGAATCTGGAAAAGGTTTGCGCTTTACCATCGTGACGGCTACATGGCCTATCGCTTGAAGGGGGGGGGCTCACAGACTGCAATTACGTGATGTGCAGAGCCGATATAGCTACGTCTGCGCGGTGAGTCACAGGCTGGTAACACTGCGAGATCATATTTGCGACGGCCCCCGGGGCGGCATACACAACCCGATGGTGAAGTTGAATCGATCAGCTAATCAACTCGGTACGAGAGAGGCCAAGCAAGAAAGCTGTCGTATTGCAACGTCGGCTACAATCGCTCCACTAGGAATGTCATTTGTCTGATGCAGCAGTCGTCTTTGGCCTTGCGTATGTGGAAAGGCCCTTGCACGATTCGTAGTGTCGCTCTGTTATTTGCTGACAAAGGTATCGAACGAGGAGCTTCGTCGATGTTTGTGATAGCGGCCGCTATCCGTGACGGTCTTACAACGCTTCGTGTCAGCTACGTACAAGTAGACTGTGCGCCTTTGGATACTCCACGTACAACTTTTGTCGGTCAATGAGTGAGTAGGACACTGCATATACCATTTTGTTTGCACTTGTCTATTACGTCCACCCGTGTGCTGCTACTCTGCTTGCTCCTCTTTTGATGACACGCTTCAGCATGGCGGAAAGGATCGGTCGACCGTCTTGCATTGCCACTTCGGTCATGTCCGTTATTATTGCTGCGTGTCCTCCAACGACAAAGATGACCGACGAAGGGACAGACGCAGCGAGATACCAACGTCGTATGCGAAACAACCCGACAAGTAGAACGTAATCCATTTCTTCTGTGCACAATAGTACGCCGCCACACTTAGCAGCCTTTTCCTCCTGCGATGATAAGACACGACGTGGACGCGTACATGGCCATGACGTTGGTCATGAGCGACCATACGAACGCAAACGAAATATACGCAATGGTGATGCCGCCCATCATCTTACTGCTGCCCCCCGTCCGCAAAAGTGCCTGCGTCTCTGCTTTCTGAGGCGGCAGAAAGACCAAAAAGACCCACGAGAAGATCGTCATGCCGTACATGATCGAGACAGCGTACGTGAGGTCAGTTCGAATCGACGTGTCGTCTTCCTGGATACGAGCAGTGGTCAAGTTCAGCGGCTGGTTGATCACAAGCGTGAGGGCTTGTGCGAACGGAGCCGCGAGGTTGCCAACCATTGTGATGATGCCGTAGACCGCCCCTTCATTGCCAACGCCAGAGAGCTCGACAATGACAAAGTAGCCGATCATCCACCCGACGCCGTACGGCAGCTGGACGGCAATGGGCAGACCAAGCCAGAACCACTGACTGCGGAACACGTTCCAGATCGTGAGGTACGTCGTCACGCCGTCCACAATGATGACAAAGACACCTGTAAAGAGGATCATCTTGCGCCAGCTCCACTGCAGACCCCACTTGGACGTAGCCATGATCCCTCCCATGAAGAGCACGTTACTAAAGATCTCGCTTATGGTGCTGTTGATCGGCGTCACGCCTACCATGTAGGACTGAACAGGTGAGCTCGCCGTGTACGAGATGCTGGAGAACACGTTCTGGAAAAACTGGTAGAACACCACCTGGTAGACCGCGCGTTTCTGAAGGAGCTCCCACAGATCGCTCATGTACTGCTTGAACGGAACCCGTGGCTTCTTCTCTTCCCTGACAAAGAACCACGTGATGGGCAAAATGGGGATCGTGATCGCCGCGACAATCGCCATGAGCTGTGGAAACGTCAGCGAGAAGCTAAAGTCGCCTCCGTACTCGTCGCCATTGAAGCAAAAGCCAACGAGCAGCTGACCGAGGATGACAAACACCGTGCGGACCGTGTAGATCGCGGACTGGGTCTTGCCCCGTCGGTCCATGGGTTCCCGCTGGGCAAAGTCGACCACGACGCTGTCGGCGCACACGACTGCGAGCACGTACCCGACCGCAGCAACGAACATGTACATGACGTACTTGCCCGCTTGGTCGCCCGCTCCGTGGTTGATGCGCGCGCGGATCTCCGGCGTGTACTCGTTCGGTTTAATGGCCCGGTCGGCCGACACAGTGTAGTACGGGTCGCCTGCGGGCGACGTCGCCATCACGAGCAGCATAGCGACACAGATGGACCAGCCCACGAGCATCCACGACTTGCGACGGTAGCCACATAGAGGCACGCAGTCGGACAAGATGCCGTAGAAAGCTTTGAAACTCCAGGGCAAGATGACCAACGTCGTGGCCGTCGTGACTTGCGAGCCCGTGGCGTTCAGGTACTGCTGCAGGAACGGGTAGACCGTTGCGGGCAACAGGCCATAGTTGATCCCGACGACCGCGTATTGGAAGAGCAGGCCAATGCCGTCCGTGCTCCAGAGACTCGGCACGCCGCCTTCTCGAAGCGCGCCGCCTTCCAGCGTCGACGCGTCCGGTGTTTTCGACTGCGCGTAGTCCAACTCGCGCGCGTCCGAGTCCCGCCCTTTGTCGCTCAGGCACGTGGAGACGCGCGCAGGCAGGTCGAGTTGCTTGGACCCGCCGGACGACCGCATGCTGCAGACGTGGGCAAAGCGGCGTGGGTTCCAGAATGGAAGGGTTTCGGAAGACAGACAGATAGCGCGCGGGGCTGCGTAACGGGTCGAGGGGCGGCCGAGCAAATGCAAAACAACTCTAGCGGTGGCCGGCAGATCAGCAGCAGCAGTAGCAGCAAGAAAAGAGACACACACACACACACGCACACTAACTACCAATGGACTCACTAACTGCCTGGACATGTGTGTGTCTCTCTCTCTCTGTGTGTCTCTCTCGAAGGGCTCAAAGCAGCAGCTGGTGATCCAAAGAGATGCACGAGAGTCTGCATTGTGCCAAACCGCCTCGAAAGCGATTCCATACTTTACCTCACACGACGTCTGATCGACCGTCAAGAGCGGCCGTGCCAAGCGCGACTTTCTGGTCGCAGGCACGCGTCGGGCACGGGCAGATTTGCAAACGCCTCTGGTCCACACTCTTTTGTCACTGCGGGCAGCGCGAGTGGGACGGCGCTCGAGGAAGAATTGCACGCTGCTGCTGAACGCCGACCGTCTCATTCGGTTACCACTGGTCCTCCCTCTTCTTTGCGTATCCGATCGCGCAAGCTGCTTTCGGCGCAGGAACAGGAGCTGGGCTGATGGTCAAGTGTGTAGCACTCGATGCTCTCTCTATCAACGGGCTGTCGAGTGCGCTCTCAACGCGAGCGAGACACATGATCGTGTCTGTACATGTTCAACTCGAGTCGCGGACCTCAGCTGCTCGATGGATTCAGAGCCAAAGCGCTGTCAAGACTCCGGACACACTCGACGCACTTGGCCATTCAGCGGCATATGGTCTCGGTCATGGGACGACCTGGCACACGGCGCTGCGATTCGCTCGATGGGTACGTGACTATGGCCCCGACTCGCTCTTCATCGTTGTCATACGTTGCGCGGCATTTTCCCGACAGCTTTGACCTTGTGGCGTACGTCTATGCACTGCACGAGACATGGCCGGTCGCCTTGGCCGCAAGGCGAGCCAAAGCAGTCGCAGGATATCAATGATGAATTCACAGGATGGATCACACGGCTGCACAACGCTTAGAGGGAAAGGATGTTGAACCGATAGGAACATGGACGTTTGTCCGTTTGCACGAGGAAGACTTGCAGAGTGGCAGCGTCTTCGTTGAGCTGTCGCTGATCGTTTGGCCCGTTCAGCGGATTGTTCTTGTGACTTTGTCGTCACTGAAACAACTACGCGACCTTTGCTTTGCCTTGTTCCTGGGGAGTTGTGCAGGAAGTCTTTGAATCGCTATGCAGTGTATCTGCCTTTGGATCGCTCTACCGACGGCTGCATTCTTTTTACGTGAGACGGGTCGACGGCTGCATTGTCGCATTGCTTTACGCGGTCGCTGACGACATTCGCGTGTCGAACGCTTGAGCTATCCGCACGATTGCTCATATGCAGCGAAAGATGCTACAGAATTGCTCGCAAAGTCGAAAGGCGTACGATGCTACTTGCTGCTACAGCTCCTGCTTTGTCGAGTGTTATGCATGTAGTTGACAGTAGAGGCGAAGGTTTGGTGATGCACCGTGCGTGAGCCGACTAACCCTGTGGAAGAAGCAGCAGAAGTAGCTCGACTAGCCAAACGCAGTCTCCGAAGGAAAGACCTGATGGTGAGTGAGTGTACGCACTTTGTCTAGAATCGATGGACATAGGGTGGACATCCGACGAACGAGGGACGCTCAGCTCGAGGGCCGCGAGGATGCAAGTTGGCACGACGAGCACTTCACGCACTCGATCAAGCTCGACGACTCAGCTTTCAGACTGGTCGACGCGTGCAGTTCCAGAGCTTCCGCGCGACTGCTGAAATGAGTGATGGCATTCTTGTGACTCGGTAGTCATCGCAGATACTCGGGCTCAGCTGCTTTGGTCACAACACAACGGACTTCGATGATCGCCATGTGTACAACCACAATGGCAAAGGACACACTTTGCTCATGTATCGTACGTAGCGCGTGGCACACTTGCTCAGAAGTCTGTTGATGAAGGGGTTGTGATGTGGGAATCCTGACTACGTAATCGTTTGGAAAAGGTTGTGTAACCAAGAAGACGAAGAAAGTTGTTTGCCATTCACGATTTCGGCATGTCCCTAGTCAGTCATCGACATATAAGTCCCGCCGCGTCCATACAGTTTCTTGTTGTTGTTGACAATGTGCCGCTGATCAAGTACGCGAGGATAACGTGCGTGTGTTTCCCGGTTGCTAGACCTTTGGCCGACCTTCGACCGTATTTTATCATCCAAGACGAGAAGGAAGCCTCATTTGCATCCGCTGACCCCATTCGATAAGTCGGTCAGTGCTGTCGGGATCGTTCACAATTGAACGATGAGGTAAGTAGATGGAACAGAGTCAGCTTTTCATGGCGAGGGATACATAAGGGATAGTTTGTGGCAGGCACAACTTTCTGCTGAGGTATGAAAAGGACGCAACTCATCACAAACAAACCTGATAGACGAGAAAACGTTGAAATAGCGATGTTCTCAATACTTGTTCCACTCGACGTAGGGCATGAACATTTCAGCTTATCTTCTTCCTCTCTTGCGTTGTCACACTAGCGTTAACGTGCGACGGACACCTCTTGCAGCACTAGAAAATACACGGACACAAAGCTTTTGCGAGGTCTGTCGATTCGAGAGGCATCGCCCACATTGTGTAAATTTGTTGACATGCCTCCTTACGTGGAGCAATTGGGGCACTTCAGGCATAAGTCTAGGGCCACGATCGAACTATAGCGTAGTATATGCCTACGCCCATCTTCAGTGCAAGTGCTACAACCCGGCAGGGTATTTTGGAGCATAACATGCAAGTCGCAGGCGATACAAGACTTTTTCTTCGACAAGAGACAAGCCAGCCAGCCTGTTTCCTCCTTACGTGATCTGCAGCAGTCGCCGTACTGCTTTGTTGAACACAATCGAGAGCGCCACTCGCACCTCGATATTCGGCACCATCACCAGGCTTGTCAAGAGAGGATACAACCATCGCATATGGTGCTCAAGCTTTATCAGTCCAAAAGTGACAACGCAAACAAAACATTGTAAGAAGTCGAACTACAAGCTTGATGTCCCAAGAACGACGCTTACCTCTGTGCTGTCGAGCCCAACCAGCTCCTCCAGAATTGCAACCACAAGCGACGCATAGCTTTCCCCTCTTTGTTTCGCATCGGCAGGAACCGAGCCATCTTCACGTACTTGTTGCGGCGCTGACCCTGTCCAAACCAGGTACTCTTCTATTGAGTCTTGTACCAACCTCGCCATGTACTCGCGAGCCTCTTCCACTCGGATAGGCACGTCTCCACAATCATCAACGCTTCGATTGAGAATCGCAAACAGCACATGAAGATATTGCTGCTTACCCAGCACTTCCTGCGGCAACAAACTAGGAAGCTCACTCGAGGATGGTACCGTCATGCCGTACCGCCACCCGGTGTGTCGCAGACGACGCCGCAATGATGATGAATCGTTGACCTTGCGAGCAAACATGAAGCTTTCACGCAAGCAAGACAAAAGCAAGCGAGCGTGACCGACGCTCAGTGAAAGCTGTTTGTTCTGACAGCTTGCAAGCACATTCCCTGCCAGTCGCTGCAGTGTCAATAGAACGGCCAAGTGCGAGCGCGACGGCACTCGTTTTGCTATCACCTCACCCACTCCGATCATCTTGCGTGTAAAGCTTGCAGCGAACGAGAAGCCCAGTGTTGCCACGACCCCAGGATACATCCCTAAAAGCGAAGGCTGGTGGGGTGACGAAGAGGCATCGAATGCTACTGCAGATGGATGTGATGCGGGCGACAACGGCACTCTCTCTTTCGCAGAGCTTTCGGCGCTAGATGTGACGTCGGGCTCAGAAGCAGAAGCTGTTTCGGCGTCGTGCGTAGGAGGCAAGACAGCAAATATCCACGTCGGTTCCGCGCGCTTCATAGCATTGCACACTTCGTCAACAATGAGGCCACAATCGCTCGTAGAAAATTTGTGTCCATATGTGGTCAGCGTGATCTCGAGTGCACTTGCTGACGCTGTTGCAAGCTGCTCTTCGGTATCGCCGGCATCCATGAACTTGCCAAGTAAGAACAGAACTTCCGGCAGAAAGCCCACAATGTCGTAAAAAAGGCCGAAGCACTGAAGCAGTCGCTCGAGGCACAGCGTAGCGGTCGTTTTACCAGCAGTGTAACGAGGCATCTGACTACCCAAATTACGCCTCACTGGTAACGGCAGCTTCGGCAACGGGTGTGCGCCCTTCTCCAAAAACACCTCGAGGTGGCGCAGCTGAAACAGAAGTGGGATAAGGATGTCTTTGAAGATCGATTTCCACAGACCCCGTGAAAATTTCTTGCCATGAGTCTCGAGCGCGTCGAACAGTACTTCCAGTGCTGCGAGACGCACGTCTAGTCGACGATCAGCAGCAAGCGTGGATAGCGCTGTCAGCGCAGGCCACAACATCCGTGTATGTGCAATTGAGTCGTCGACCGCTATTTCGCTGGATTCAAGACACGTTTCCTCCATCGTCTCGGCAAAATCATCTCCCCGGCGATGCGATGATACTGGCAAAGCAGCCGGCGGCACCTCGCGCGAGGACAACTCGGTCACCTCTGTTTCCAACGAAAGCTCGGCTTCCTGTCTCTGATACTCCACCGAAGCACAGCTGGTGTCATCCGTAGGATCCTCCACTACTACCCTGACTTTCTCGCAGTCGAGAAGAACAGTCTGCTTCGTCACAACAGCAACAGCAGCGGGCGCCGAAGAAGCTGAAAACGACCCCGTCGTCTCACGACCAGTCAGTGGCTCAATCATCCCTCCAGTCGCTAACCTTTCGATGCAGACGCTACGCAAAAGCCCAATACTGTCTACTCCAAGCTGTGTGAGCGTAAGTCGCTCTTCCATGTGGCGCTCAACCTCCTCACAACCGCAAACTGCAAAAGCAACAAGACAGTCGACTACGTCGATGAACACATCGACAGTGCAAGCAAAGTGACGCTCTAGCACGCCGCGCGCGACTTGAAATCCCAGAAGCACCACTCGGTCTTCACTACCTGGTGCATACGTCTCGGCAGCTACACGAAGCACACCCCATATTGTTTTCCATCCGGAACGAATATTGCTGACTCGAGCAAGCACCAGGTTTTCCACGCAGCGCAGTATCAGTTCACGCGTTTCCAGCGACGTAGCATTTGACATGATCACTTCGAATGGCGCCAAGAATAGACGCTGGAAATTAAAGTCGCGAAGCTCGGTTCGCTCAAGAAACTTGACGCTAAGCTGGCGTAGCGAATCGATAGCGTACATACCAACAGTCAAGTCCTCATGGCATCCGATCGTGGTGAAGTGCCTCGACAAAGTCTGCCATGTCGCTGCCCACACCATACGAGAGCGTGTTCGCATATTCATATCGGCTACTTCGACAAGCTTTTGCAAGCTAAAGACACGCGGAGGAGAGCCGCCTGCGGCCCCAGACGACCCGATGCCAGAGCACTCTGACAGTGATACAACGGTGAGTTGCACGACAAACTGCTGCAGAGCTTGGTCACTGAGCAATACAGAGCTCGAAAACACGCGATCACTTGCTAGCTGGTCAATCTCGTTCAGCACACGTGCCGCATTCTCGTCTTCAATCTGGCCTTCATCAGGCTCAGAGCCGTTTCCACGGCCGCCCGTATCACGGTAAGAGAACGATGGAGATAACCGTGATGTTCCTGGTCCACCACGCTTACTGCTCGCTGAAGATCCGCGCATGCTAAACGACGGTGCAATATTTCCGCTATTGCTGCGTGAGCTAGACAGGTTGCCCACGCCAGGCGAAGGCTCTCGGTTGGTGTAGGGTCTATCACCGGCAACAGACCCGGATGCTGGGTGCTCGCGCAAGCTCTGTGCATGTGTTTGAATCCAAGCCAGCTGAGATATGGCCTGGAGGACGTCGTGCCATGAATCGCTGAGGTAGTTTCCCTCCTTCACACTGATTGAGATCAGAGCCTTGATAGCCTCCATATTCTTCGAACGCATCAAGCGTGAGTGCGTCGTATGCAGTGCAGTAAACTTGGCCAGCACCATCACGAACGCATTCCGCTCCTCTGGCATATCTAGTCTAGCAGAGAGATGCACAGCGTGTCGAAATGAATCCAGACAAAGCTGAATGGCCTCTGCTGACTCGGAGCTTTCGAACGTCACCGAGCATACCGCCAACAGCGGGGCCCAGAGCGTATCAAACATAGGGCGGACGTGGGAACGCTCAGTATACCCCGAGACTTCCTGAAACGTGGATAGCGACGGATCTGGCGTTGTAAGAGTCGACGCAGCCCCGCTATTTTGTTGTAATGTGGAAGAGGCAGGGGAGCTTGGCGTGGTAGAAGCACTGAGCTGACCGCTGCGAGAGGAAAGCTGTCGTTGCTCGCGCGATGATGGCGGTGCACGACGCTTAAAAAGAGCCTCAGACTGGCGCACCATCGACTGACGCTCTTTGATGTAAGCGTCGCGGCGTAAACGGTCGGTAGCTGCACCCGAAGCTCCAAACAGAGAGCTCGCAGCAGTAGATGCGCCACCACGACGACCGCGAAAGTCGTCGTCTTCCTTCAGGGAAATAGGTGTCGCCTTTATACGATCGAAGATCGCGCTCATGTATTCTTCGGGCAAGTCCTTCCCATCGTTGATACCACGGTTATTGCGCAGAAATCCAGCTTTGTCCATCTTCTTCTCTTCTGCGATACTCGGGTTGTGCAGATCGGTTTGCAGCATAATTATAGAGAATGCGAGGATGAAAGCTGTGTCTGCGCTGGGGAATAATCCAGGTGGACACGAACTGAAGAACCGCTCGGCAAACTTTTCCATCATACGATCGATCTTCTGTGATTCGCCGGGCAGGCGAAAACCAGCAAGAAAATGGCGAATAGCTACATCAATCTCCAGGCCTGCGAATTCCATCATATCCACATATTCGTGCAGTACTTGCACACAGAATCCTCCCTGATAATGGACGCCATTGCCGAGGTAGTCGCCTACCATCGTTTTGTCCAGCTTGTTATTGTGTGCGTGTAAAAACGCAGCAACATCACGCGGCGAGCCTTCTCCCATGTGTCCGTGAGCAACAAGATACGCGATACCGGCACTAGGCTTCACATTAAATTTGAGGATTCCCGTGGCCATTTCTTCCTGGCGCTTCTTCTTGCTCTTAAAAGCCTCGACTGCCGACATAGTGGACGATATGATTGGAACCAAGTCTGGCGGGGCAACGTTGTCTTCGTCCTCACCGTTTTCGTCCTCGGGGGACTTCTCGTTCTCATCACGCTGAGAAGAGAATTGTCGTTCAATCTCGACAAAATTTGCGGCCTTTTTCAACGATGCAGCAGTGGCTGTGAGGCATTCAAGACCCTTCAGAGCGAGAGCCGCATCCTGCTGCAGCATCTTTATCCGCGCGCTGTTCGACAGGCTGGCAGCGTACTGTTGTGCTGCAGCGTCTTGATAGCAACCGCCCTTCGCCGTCTTGGCAAGCGCGTGCACGATTTGCTTGAACAAGTCATTATGATTCCAGTCGCAATCGTAATTGAGAAAGATCTCGCCTATAGTCGACGGGTCATCACATATGGCTCGCAAAGCTTCCAGCACGAGCAGTTTGTGTTCAAAGCTGGCGTTCTCGGACTGCAGCAAGCGCAGAAAAACACTTGTGATGAAAATGTCCAACTCAGTTTTCAAATGGCGCTTGAAGTTATGCAGCAAGACCAAGAAAACTTGCAGTGACAACGACACGATCTTCGTGTAGTTGCTCGTGCAGTTTTGCAGCAGCGATTGACAAAGATATTGCCGTATGACATGCACAGACCAGTCTCCTTGTCGAAACGATGGACCGGCATTCTGCAAAACGTCTTTTACCAGCTCCAGCGACAGGATCATGCTTTGAAATGCAAAAGGGTCTTCGGGATTGGCACCATCTCCTGTCTTTCCAGTCGCGGAGGTGCTGACGTCAGTTGCTGTCGGAGAATCATCAGCCACCGACCGCATAGAAATTCGACAAAGCGATCGAAACAGCAGAAAGGCGTCCTTGTGAAGCACAGACGGAAAAGCTGCAGAAAACGCAGCTTGCTGCGATCGAGACGACGCCATCTCGACGGTTTCGCTTGTCGTTGCGGATGAGATTGCAGGCCTTTTTGAGCGTGCCGGTCCGTACGGAAGCTGAAGCACTGCTGAAACTGACGGGTACATAGCAGCCATTGTCTCGACGCGCTGCAGCTGACCGATCGTGTCTCGATCGACATCACGTGTAGCATCTACGCCTTGCTCTACGTCCTCTTGTTCGTGCTCTTTCTCTTCCTTTCCATGCCGTCTTTGTCGCTCGAGTTCCTGTTGCTGTAGCGACGCCAGCAACGTCACACTCGTCTCTTGTTCCACACGTCGATCAAACGTCTCCATCCGCTGAAACACAATGCTCAAAATCTGCTGCAGCGTGGCTTTCGCGACTGTCCGGTTCATCGCGCTCTTGCTCACCAAGTGCACGTGGTAACACGCCCGCACTGCTCGCAAAAGCGTCTGTTCATGCACTTCACACGTCGGCGTCGTCACGGCCGTGAGCAGCACCCGCAACACCTGAATCTGCACATTGTCGTCTGGATGGTCGTTGCAGTCGCACGCAACGTCGACAATGCAGTCAATCACCCGCACGCTCTCGTCACCACTGCCAGCACTGCCTCCCTGCGCTCCTTGTCCGTCCATGACGTTGCAATCGCTGCTCAGCGGCGTGGCAGTTAGGGCCGCACTCAGCCCACTGTTCGTCCCATTGGTCCCGTGCTTAGCCCCTGTCCCTGATCCCAAGCCAAATCCAGGTCGGCGGCCAGCACCCGAGGACGACGACGACGCTGCTGCGGCCGCTCGCTGCACGAGGCGTCGCCGCACGCCCGCCGAGATGGCTACACCGGCTTCCCGGAGGTACCCAAAGGCCAGGAACTTCTCGAGGCAGTCGAGCGCCACGGCTACGAGCTTTGCCGAGCGCGTGAGACAAGCGAGCAGGAAGGGCTCGAAGGGTACGTCGAGTGTACCCCCCTGTGCGCTCCCCTGCGTAACCTTCGCGTGCGCGCGGTCGATCGTGTCGCGTACCTCGCGATGGCTGCGGGTACACGCTTGACGCAACTTGCTCAGCGACTTGAGCACAAGGGTCTCCATGGGGATACAACGTGGGGGTACACAAGAGCGAGCAGTGGGGCGCGGCCGGAGAGCGACAGACGCTGCGCGGCAGAAGCAGACGGCCAATTCGACAGACAGACGTACGTACGTACGTACGTACGGACGGATTTGTACGGGTCACTGGCGCTCGAGATAGCGATATGCCGACTCGGAGGCAACGGACGTTCCGGCTCCAAAGACGGTCCGGTGGCTATGCTAGGACAGAGGTGGACTATATTCGACGGTAGAATACACCCACACACCGTGGCCAAGTCGACGGACCAAATGCACAACGACGCAATTGCGTCGGGGTCCACATACCTGCTCGATGCGATACCCGTCATCCATATCTGCTTTCACAGGAAAGCCACCGCCAGCCAATCAGCCTCTCCGTCGAGCCGTCACGCGTGACAGACGTCCGAAGGGGTCGGGAGCTCTGCATGCGGAGACTCGCGCGTGACGCTGCACGACGTTGCAGCGGGTGGCGCGTCCCCAGTGCGTGTGCTGCCTGTACGTCTGCTGTCTTATCCACCCGCTTGGCCTCCTCTCGCGCAGCCAATCGCTGCGTCCAGAACGCTTTAGTCACGGCGGCCGAGCCATCGACTCTCGGTCGTCGTCGCCGCTCCGCATTGCGACTTGATGCGGGCATACAGAAGGCAAGAGATGCAGTGGAGACGAGGACGACAAAGACACAGCCGGTAAGCGTTGCGAAGAAAGGTCGCTTCAACGTCCATTCGTGCGTCGTACAGCAGAAAATGCCGCTGGAAGACGTGCTGCAGTTGGTGCAGGCCGAAGTGCAGACCAAGACGCTTCGAGCTTCGACCGTGCGGCATGCAGTGGACTCGTTCTACTTCTACTGCGCGCAACGGGTGGAGAAGGTGGAGCTCACGGACGCTTTTCGGCGACAAGTGCTGCGATACTTTATCCAGGAGCTCTTTGTCGACGACTTGGCGCGACCGTTTGTGCTTGGACAGTCACTGAACGAAGCAGTTTTTGGCTCAATCATCAAGTTGTACCTTGCAGGAGGCGACGTAGAGGCGGCCTGGATGCTGGTGCATAGGCTCATGCGTGCAGTAAGACGAGTGAACGAGCTCGAAGCTCCGAAACTGCACTTTCGGACTGTCGGTCCGTTGCTCGAGCACGAGTGCCGCCTCGATGAATTCCAGAGTGCGTATTCGAAATGGCAACAGCTGAAGCAGCACGGTATAGAGTGGACAAATGCGATGGAGGATGCGTTGGTGCACATGGTGATTGCGTGTGTAAAGCACAATGAGCGACAGAGGAACTCGTTGTCCGAGACGGTGGAGGAAGAGAATTCACGCGACTTGCACTTTCATGATCAGATGACGTCGTTGCTGCATGATCTGCAGCTCACGTGTCGAGAAGTGTCTCCGTTGAACGTGGACCGACTGCAGCGTGTGTTTCGTGCTGCTGGATACGTTGTGAAGACCGTGCCAAGTGACGCGCGAATGCGATCGCGGTGTCCAGGCTGTGGACACGTTTTGGGTAAGCAGGAAATGTTGGACAGCGAACGCGAGCACATGCTGTCTGCCATCGGGTCCCGCCGCAGCAAAGTGCCTCCAGAAAATACCGTGAAGGAGTATCTAGAGCCATTTGAGAACTGGTTGATGCTTCGACACGAAGAGTTCAAACTGAAGACCCTGGCTGAAGGTGCAGCGGCCAGCAAGTATCTGCACTATGTGCTGGACGGACCCAATATTGCATACATCAACCAGAACTTTGGCGCTGGAACGTACCGTTTGGATCAGGTTGACGCCGTCGCGAGACAGCTACAAGCGCAAGGCCATCTCGTTAGCATCACAATGCCTGCGGCTTACCTCGCTGACAAGTTTGTGGTGCGCATTCGTACAAAGCACTACAAGGAGATGCGGCGGCAAGGTAAATTTGTCACACGCGAACGGACGGCCGAGGAGAAGGCGATTCTTGCACGCTGGTACAACGAGGACATGATCTATAGTTGCCGCACCGACTTTCTGTCCGACGATCTTTTTTGGCTGTACGCGAGCGTGCTGATGGGACGTCAAGGCCGCGTGGTGACGAACGACCAGGGCCGCGACCACGTCTTTGCTCTCCTCAACAGCCACACCACTACTGGCGAGGGTTCTCGATCGCACAAGAGTGGCAAGGCAAGTCTACACCCATCCAGTGACCATTTGGGCATTGCTAACATCTCGTTAGACCTGCTTGCTCGTTGGAGAGACCTGGCGATCGTGAACATTGAGATCAAACACGAAGAAGTCGAGCACAGTGCGGCAGCCGGATGCGACCCCACTGCGCTGATTCCAGTCGAGTCCATCCGACTGCTCCATCCGCAGCCGTTCTCGCGGGTCCCACAAGTGACAGCCCCTCGGCATTTCCACTTTCCAATCGCGGACCAAGCAGCCAGTACAGAGCATCGAAGCCAAGTACAGCAGAAACGCACTCGATGGCTCTGTGCGTATCGTGAAGACGCCATGAACTAGACGAGACTATTGATCGTTCAATTGCAACGATGTAGCTGCCTGATCGTTTTGCTTCAACCGACTTGTACAACACCAGTCAATATGTACTGATCAGAGCCTACTGTAATGGATTGTATCGGTGTAAGGAAGACCAAGTGACCAAGTGATCGAGTCGATCTGACGTACTGAAGGAAGACGTGATGATAAAATGGCTACTTTTGTTCATACTAAGCTCAGATGACTAACAAGTCCCAACGAATGGCTGCGACCGCTGCTGCATCGCTCCGAAAACCCGACCTGGTCGCCCTTACTTGTACACGCACTTGCCGTTGTCGCACTTGAAGCCAGGCGCACAGGAGGACACAAAGAGACTCGTCGCCGGGTTGAAGCACTTGTTGGCCGGAGGGGGTTGGCACTCGTTCGCGCCCAGTGGACAGTACTTGCCCGATTCGCATTGAATGTAGCAGATACGTGAATCCGACGGCTGCTCGACGTGCACTCGGACGTGGATGCTGGACTGCCCCTCAGCCGCTGTTGACTGGAACAGGCACGCGGTGGCGACGAGAGCGGAAGTGCACACGGTCGAGAGCTTCATCGTGATCGTTGGTTGACTGGTTGACTGGTTGACTGGTCGGTTAGTTGTGGACGGGTTACAGGCCACGCGGGACTTGAGCGGCGGATTCGGAACTGATTGTTCGGCAGAGGGCCGTTGCAACACGAGACCGCTAGGAAATAAATCAGGAACGACGGACGCAGGCGGATCTCAGTGTCCAGCTGCGTTGCAAATCTTCTTGACACGCAGACGTGCTCTTTGTGTACAAGAGGACTCGACAGGCCGTTCGTTGCACGAGCTGGAGACATCGCCGTCGACACGAGTCGCTGGTACGGATGTTGATCGTGCAACACGTGTCGTCAGTGACCACACGTGTGTGTGTGTGCGTTTGTTGCTACTGCAGTACATTTGCTGCGCACCTGAGAGAGCACGGAAGCACGTGCGTTGACGTGGTCGCTGTCGCCCGAGCACGTGGCTACACGTCAGTGTCAGCTTCCGAGTCGATTGAGTGAGCAAATGCATTGCACTGTTCCAGCGCTGTAGAGGACCTGCTGCTAACTTCTGTACTACGATCGCTACTCCTGCACCTCCTGCATGTACATTAAGGGAGCAGCAGACTCAGACGACTTTCGAGATGGCTCGCAACACACTCTGTAGCCTGACGACGAGTCGGTCGTTGATGAAGCTTTGGGTCACATAACGCTACGGACCATTCGAGCGCTTGAGATCTTGCAATGATTACGCACCACTCGATGCAGCGCGCGATGGCCGCAAGCCGCGCAAAGTCGGCTGTGGCCACGTCGAGGTTTTATTATCCCTTTTCGGTGGAGTGGCGTTGTCGAGTGCGAGTTGGATGCATAAGTTCGCACTGCTAATTTGGAGGTGGTATGATAAACGAAAGGACTCGCGCTTGCTTCGTGTGGATCTTGCATGGACGTAGCAAGACCCTCTTACTTGTCATAGCTGCCACTTAATTGTCAATGTGATGAAAACGCGCCCCTTTTCATCATACTGGAAATTAATCGGTTCTCGTCACGTTTCCATCCAGCGCGCAAAACTAGGACGTGAGTAATTGGTCACGATACATCAAGCGCTTTTTACAATTGTAGATCTTCGAGACGGAAAACACTGCAATATTGGTCGTGGCTTCGAAGCTTTGCACACTTTTGTCTCAAGATTGCGAGTTTTCTACGATTTAGTCCACTGCACGAGCTACAGTCGGGGTCAAATCGATCCAAAGCGCAGAACCATCGTGTCTACGCTATGTTCGGTCAGAGGACGCACGGGCCGTCGTTGCCTCCTCCTCGTGCATGTTGCTTGCCATGACTGTAAGACATGGTGCGACGACGGTAGGCCAAGTGCTGCTAGCACATTTGTGCGTCATGCCTGATCTAGGAGCAAATCGGTCGTCCCACCAACCATTCGAACTTGTGCGCACATCCGCATCCTTCAGAACCGTAGACAATGCACGACGTACTGCACAGCTGATCGACATGACCGAAACTAGCTGCGACTGTGCACTCGATACATTCAAGACTTGAAGGTTCGAGAACTGCTTTTTGTTGGACATAAGACGCTCGTGGTGCACTACCGTGTCCAGCCAGACCAACCGGCGCGGTCGCAAACGCCTTGAGTGCGAAGTCGTGACTATCGGCAACGACATTACTCCCACCATGTGTGATCCGAAGGGTCTCTTGTCGTAATAGGAGAGAACCGCATGGCTCAGTCGTGTCATTGAGACTCGATTTGCCAATGTCTGACCTTTCACCCGCGGTCTCCATCACATCAGCTTTATGGACTGCAAGTTGCAGCACGGATCAAACGTACATGATTGAGCTGTAGGAGTTGCTGAAGATAGGAGCGATAGAGCTGTTTCGTACGCTCGGACCTTGAGCCGACGAAGCGAGGAGACCTGACGTGCACTATGACGAACCCGCCTGAAGTCTCCAGAGCCACTCCTGACCCTGCGTCGTCAAGCAACAGAAGGATACTTGTCGACATGGAGTGCTTCACGTGGGACTTTACTTCACCACATTACTCACTCATGAGCTATTCGATCCGCGGTAAAGCACAAACGTGAGGGACATGTATGTGATTGTGGGCATGGCGCGTTTGCTTTCCATGAGCGCTGGACACACATTCGCCATTGTCGCAGACGCACATGGTGTCGCGACATGTGTAAAGTTTTACTTGCGGTCGAGTTACACCACTGCTTTCGCAAAGGCTCGCAACAGACCATCTCTCTTTCCACGGACAGTACTGATCCGGCGGAGGTGCAACAGATGGCGCCGTCGACGTTCTGACCCACGGTGTGAGGTCGGTAATGCATTGATGACTACTTTGTAGCAGCTGAGGCCCCGTGAGACACATGACAGCTACAGTAGCGACTGCAAAGACGGTATGGAGCTTTAGTGAAGTGGGAGGGGACGAAAGATATCGACGGACTTTGAGGCTGCGCGGCAAGTCCAGTCTTTCTCGAGAAATCCGTCAAGCAGAGTGCACACTTCGAGGCAGGCGGTGGCTAACGACATCTTCGTATCGTCAGGACAGAGCGGCGTCGATACTTGATCGAAGGATCTTAGTACCGCGTATCATGAGGTCGTCGTCACCCAAAGTATCCGTTGCGTGGCACGTCGATGGACAAGTCGATGGCCATCGGTCAGTAAGTTCGTTTGATGACGATACATCTCCGTGCTACTTGATTGCCACGAGTATTTCCTCGAACACGCATACTAAGATGTCGCGGAATCACGTCAGCAATTGGTCGACTCGATGAGATGCAGATGCGCCGTGCGACAATGCTTGACGATGTTGATGATGAGTCGTGCGTGACGACGTCTGCAGTAGACAATCGGCACTGCAACAAAGGAAAGTTTCTGTGCTTTCGGCGTTCAGCAGTAGTATCTGCGCAGCCTTCTCGTGGATCTGATTTCAAGTAAGAAATCAGTCCTTCACGCGGAAAAGGATCCGGGCGACAACGGCGTCTCAATCGATCGGGGCACATCGCGGGCTTTCGGCCGTTCCGTTTCCGATGGTCCTACTGGCTGACTGACTGACTGACTGAACTCTCGCAAAGACCGATACACCAGTTGCATCACGCATGACTCGCCAGCCCACGCTGGCGATACGCGCTACGGCCGAACAGTCGCATATATATTCTTCGCAAGTCGAGGTGCATGTTTTCAGCACTGTACTTCAACAGGCACGACGTGCCCTTCGCGTCAAACAAGTCGCTGATTATCGCACGGCCGACGCGTCTCTCCCCGCTCGTCGTCGTCGTCGTCGTCGTCAACTTGCGGGACAGCGCGAGACACCCGCCTGATTACGTCCTGATCCCGGCGACGTGGCCTCGCCCTTTGAGCCACGAAAGAATCCAGAAAAACGCGCGGGGGCGCGTCCCACCTCCTGGCGTGCACCACGCTAAGCGCGACACGCTCGCGAGACATGCGTTCACTATGGGCTCTCATTCTGCAACTGCTCGATCTTCTCTCTCTCTTCTCTCTCCTCTCTATTCCCGCCATCTTTCTACCGACGTCCTCTTGGACGGCCACACGCCTCCACCCACCCACTCCGTCGCACTACTTTCTTCCCAACGACTCGCGGTCATTCACGAAAACTCCGCCTCACACGCTCAGTCAGTCCCTCGCGCACCCACAGACAGACAAAACAATGGCTTTTGACAGCAACAGCAACAGCAACTGCAACAGCAACAGCAACAGCAACAGCAACTGCAGCAGCAATCGCTACACCACTACCAACAACAAGAAGAAGAGGACCAGCAGCAATACACACCGAACTACAACTCCTGCGACTCCACACAGCAGGAGCCGCCGCACGGACCCGCCCATCACGTCGACGATTCGCCGCCACGCGAGTCTCACGCCCGCAACGTCTGCCACCGCCGCCGCCGCGTCCAACGCCGCGAACCGGCGCTACAGTCTCGACCAGACGCCCGCGTCGTCGATCATCTACTGCGACGGCTACGCCCGCGTCAAGCGGCGGAATGCGCTGACGTGGACCACGCGCTTCCTCGTCCTCACGCACACGGACCTCTTGGTGTTCCACAACAAACAGGACGCCAGTCACCGGCGCAACGTGATCGAGTCGCTGGTGCTCGCGAGCGGCCGCATGGCGCCCAAACACGACCTCACGCTCGAGTTTACACTGGCGGACGGGCGCCAAGTGCTCGGCCGCGTGTTTAGCCGCGCCGACCAATTGCAGTGGGTCACGGCGTGTTACCAGGTGGCCATGCGGAGCGACGTCGTGCGGCGCCCCACGAGCGCGTCGATGGACGCAGCAGACCCCAAGAAGGCCGTCGAGCAGCGCCGCGTGTCGTTCTTTGGCAGCGTCAAAGTGCGCACGATCCCGACGGTCCCAGACGAGCAGGTGCTCGAGCTCTTTTACAGTAAACAGGACGTGGAGAAGTTTTCGGCCCAGGCCGCGAGTCTGCGCCTGCGCACGGAAGACGCCGTGTCGCTCGTGTTCCACAAACCGCTGCTGGCCTGGCGGCGACAGCTGGTCTAAGGGGCCCGGAGGACCGCGTGCACGTGGCGTCTATTTATCAGCAGCTGCCGTAGCCGCTGCTGCGCTCCGTTGGGAGAGCGCAGGTGGGCTGCTTATGCATGTTGTACGGTATTGCAGACACGGAGATGGGACAAGTAACGAATGGGGTTATGCAATGCACCTTTACGCCAGCGGTGTCACGTTGGTATCGCCAGATGCAGCTTCGAGGGGGGTGCTGCCTAATGTAGGCAGCACCTGGTTGTTTGTTTCTCACTGTGTTTCGGCAAAGCAGCTGGACAGGAGGTCTGTCCTGGAACAGTTTCCAGGAGAGCGGAAGGGCTTCGCTCGGAACGGGCGTCTGCGCTTTTAGTAACCGAAGTGGCGGCGCTGTCGGACCAGATGAAAGCCCTCGGGCGGAAAATTCCACGGCCGTGAGCGTTCAGCATGGAGGTGGCAAGAAAGTCGTGTCGGTATGAACGTACCGCAAACCCACATGGTGCCGCTTGTAGAAGCATTGAGGTACCAGTCCGTGGACGTCTTTTACCGCCCGTTCACTCACGTTGTGTGTGTGTGTGTGTGCACACGTCCATGGCAATGTCTGTTGCAAGATGCATCGAGTCGATGCTGGCGTCGAAGTCAAGACTCACACTGGCACTCAATGGGCTTTGGAACTGCGTTTGTGCTGCTATAGTTAGTGCCAAAAGGTCGTTGTGCTGTGGTCGTTGGTTGCGCCTGTTCTTCACGTCGTGCGACGTTTGCGACTCCGTTCAAGTCGAATTGTCCCATTCATCAACAACTTCTTCTGGGCGCAACGTACTCGCGCAGCTCTTTGTTCCGCGCTCACTTCAGAAGGCGGCATCAGCTCGAAGAAGGCCGTTCGTAGCCTGCCGTATCATTGCGCTCGTAGTTCTTATCGTCGCCACAATTGACGTCGATGTCGCGGAAGCGACTGGCGTAAAGGCCCGCCACGTGCTGGCGAGAAGGCGACGAATCGGCCATGTTCGTGCGCGGCTCGCTACGTCGAGAGACAGCATCTGTCTGTGTCGAGAAGAGACGCGACTTGACACTGAGCAAGTGGGCCACGAGCTGCATTGAGACTGCTTCGCTCTTCGTGGCAGCGTGGCCCGCGAGGTGGCTTTCGACAAACAGAAGACAGTCGACAATGCACAATTGAATACGCTATAACTTGCGAACGCTCACATCGACATTTGCCGATGCGGATGAACTTGCGAGACAGAGGGAACAGTCACTCGCCTGTCGTTCGTCCTGTCAAGCAAATCGCAACCCACACAACAAGACGGAACAAGCGCAACATGCGTACGTCATTGTCCGTCGTCGTTACGCGTGCGAGTTGTGCTCGTGCTTCTACCTCTTTTTGCTACGACATCTACCACCACAGTCTTCCTCGTCCACAAGTCAGGCAACCACTTACCCCCCCCGAAGCAGGAAAACCTACGGTAGAGTACAGGATGGAGCTGTTACAAGTAGCACGTAGGTGACTGCCACTCGCTGTATTATTACCTGCCAGCGGGTGCGTATCATCGAACGCGTCGACGGACATGCGCTCGCATGTTAGACCGTCTTCGCTTAGAACAGTGCCGAAACGTCTACTTGCAAGAGCAAAGTACTCACGCAGATCTCAATGTTTGCACTGCACCTACAACGACTGTGCCGCTCGTGCAGCGATCGACGCAGAACGTCTACAAACGAACGTTCGCTCACTCTGACTGTCGTCGCCCTGAAGATTGCGAGTTTTCATTGCGTGCGTCGACACGTACAATCGCCGGCCAACTCGAACGACGTCGGCTTCTCGCACCGGATGCGTCGGCTTCTCGCACCGGATGCGTCGGCTCGACCTCTACACAACAGCCGAATGCACGTCAGTCACAACGGCGACCGGATGGGTTCGCGGAAGCGGTGACACTGAAGTGAGCAGCAGTGCCGTCCACACACAGTTGCAACAGATGTCCATTAAGGTCACGAACGTGCGGTGCTGCGAAGCGCATCGCCGACGACTTCCAAAGCGTGCGCGAGTTTCTGCTCGTGCCGGTCGTCGACCTGACGCTTCGTCAAACTTTGCGTCGACCGACGCGGCTGTTGTTGACCCACGTCCAATCGCTCGAGCGGACGAGTTGGCTTGTGGCTGCCAGCCGGGATCCACTCGAGCTCTCTTCGTCTCAAACGCTGCAACAACGCGACAAGAGAGCACAGTTGGCACTGCAACCGGCAGCACGTGTACCCCGAAGCTCAAGCTGTTGCTTCTGTGGACCTGCTTTGCTTGCTCGAGACAGGTGCTGTTGACCTGAAAGCACGTCGAGCCCTTCACGCCTTTGAAAAGTATGATGCGGTCAGGGGGTGCGCAGCTACAGATGGAGCTGGTGCCGCCTCGTTCGATCTCCCTCTACCCGAACAGCAGAGGGAGCACGACACACCTCACTCGAACCTGAAGCTCGAGCGCAACATGTCCGTCACCGTGTTCATTCTCCAATTCCCCTCTTCCCGTTACAAGTGACCGACCACTGCACGATCAACTCCAGCCCTCATGCGTCTGTATCTCGCTTTGCACGTGGCCGCGGCCATGTTGCTCGCCACGAACTCCGTTGGGGCTGGAGCTCCCGACTCGTTCATGCAGGAGAAAGCTACAGCTCACATTGATGCGTTGTCTCGCAGATTGGGAGTTGAGGCCGACGTTGCGGGTGAACTTGGGACGAGCCCCCAGCGCGCTGCCGAGCAGTCGACTGCATCTGCTGTTGCTCCGACCAGAAGCACAAACAGAGAGGTAAGCTCTCGCTCGAAGCAAACGCAGGCTGCAAAGTCCTCGACCGGGACTCCGACCACCTCGAGCCTCTGCGCCAAACCTCGCGTCGTCGTCACGGAAGTGGATGTGGGTGTCGTCATTGACAGCAACGAAGACGAAGCTGCGCTCAAGCTCGTGGCCATCGCCGCATTGCCGTCGGGTGGATCGCGCATCGCCTTCCACAGCGGCGATGGCACTGTCATTGTGCGCGAATTGGACGCCAAAGATCAGCTCGTGAGCAGCAGCGCCGCTGTCGAAGTGCCAATGCACGACTTTGCCGACATTCACGCCGACGACAAGGGCTTTGTGCTTCTCGGCACGAGAGACGCCGAAGGAGGCGGCACTCTCAACTGCGGCAATCCCAGCAACCTGTGTGGCTCTGCCCCTGACCCGGCGGTGCCCTGCTACGACATGTACTTGGCTCGCTTCGACGGCTCGAGCGAGACGTGGGCCACGAAGCTGACGTCGTCCAGCGCATCGCTGCCGCCGTACTCGTCTTCCAAGACGGGCAAAGACGTGTACATGATCTGGTGGTACGCCCACCACGGCCGCATCGCTTTCGACGGCACGAACTGGGCCGCGTACTTTGGTGCCGCGATCTCGACGTCCGAGAACGGCTGCATCAACATCCACCAGGGCGACCGCATGAAAGTCGTGGGTCCGTCAGGCGCCATCACGGCGCACGAGGACTCGTTCGACTGGGGCTGCTCGCACTCGGCGTACGAGCGCATCACGTACGACAACCGCACGAACAGCTACGCGACGATCTGCAAGACGGACAACAACAACCGCATCATGCCGCCCAAGGACTGGGCCACGACCATCTACCCGGTGGACCTCGGTGCCGCCAACCTCGGCGACCTCGTGCCGGACTCGGACCCGTCGAGCAAAAAGTACTGGGCGACAGTCAGCAATGGCAAAGGTGACAATGCCAACGTGCATCTGATCCACTTTGCCATGGACGCTGCGGCTAGTCAAGACATCACATTGGGGGGCGCGCAGGCCAACGAGCGTGCACCGCACCTGGCGTCCATTGGGAAAGGCGGCATGCTGGCCATGTGGGAAGGCAGCTCGACGGGCGGCGACTTCGCAGAAGGCAGTGATCGGACGGTGTACGCGCAGGTACTGGATGCGACGACCGGTAAAGCCATCAGCGAGACAGTGACGCTGGACAAATCGGTGGTGGGCAACCGGTACCAGGCGCTGAAGACGTACCCGGACGGCAGCGTGGCGTATCTGTCGAAGGGTAAGACAAGCACGTCGGTGCAGGTTGTCCGCTTCTTCGGTTGCTAGTGGCTGGACGTGCACGCAAGTAGGCCACGTGAGTCTAGTGAATGTAGAATCCCTGAAAGTAAGCTCGATGCTACCAACTGTGTGTCATGTCCACGGGACTTCATCTCTTGTACACTTTCTTCGCTCATTCCACCGTCACTGCAAGAGCGTTCCAGCATCCCACATCAAGTAATACATCATTCACTGCTTTCCCAATAGCGTCTGCTGCAGCATACTGTAACGGGGCAGCCCGTTACATGGAATTGTCACTTTAAGAAAAGTGACAATAAAGAATATGAAGTTGAATATTCTTTAAACAATATCACCGAAGCGGTGATATTGAAGGGTCGACCAAAGATTATGTTCATTGGTTGATATCTTGATGATATCAACCCACCAATCGCCGCAAGACGCGCGCAATGAGTGGTGACGAGACGTCACCATACACTCAGTTATATTAGCATAATTAAGTCAGGTTGAACAGATAGACAGTAACAAAAGACTTAATTATATTAATACAACAGTTTTACTTTTCCCTTATTCTACGCTTCCTCGTTTGACTCGTGTACGCTTGTCGGGGCACCGATACCCTTGCGTTAAGTTCACGCAAGGGTGTGCCCCGTTACACCTGGTAGCACTTTGTAGTCCTTCCAAGGACCGCAACATCCAACATGAAAATGTTGGATGATGAAGAGACCCTTCACGCCACGCGTGAAGGGTTTACCCATTTGAGTGACATCGAATGGGGTGCGGTAGAACGAACGAGTTCTACCGTAGGCGAGTTCGCCATTAGCGCCATGTTGAAGTCTCTAGACAGAGACCAACAACATGCCGCTATAGCCAGGTTCATTCAAAATGAACTTGTCGCCGAAAGGAAGAAAGTAGCCTTGCTTCACCAGCAAGGATCTCAACAGGCCGAGCAGTTGAGAGAACTCGTTGCTCAACAGACAGAGCTGTTGATACAGCAGCAATTCCATGCTGCTGTGGGCGAGACGGCACATGCGCGTCGTCCCGAGGTCATGAAGGTTGACATCTCCAAGTACAGTGGAGTCCCGGAGGACTCCCTGTTACTATGGTTTGTCGAACTCGACAGAGCCTTAAGGGCTCGTCGCGTCGAAGATGAGCAAATGAAACTCACATTTGCTCAGCCCACTTGGCAGGGCGTGCCAAAACTTGGTCCCTGGGGCTCGAGAGTAGCGACCCACATGTGTTTAGGTCGCTAGATGACTTCAAGTCCCGGCTCAGACAAACGTTTGAGCCGCCACGAGCTGAGTTCAGGGCTCGTTCTGAGCTCGTGAAACTCAAGCAGGGTAAGCGTGATGTGCACGCTTACGCACAACATATACGACTCCTAGCGAGTAGTATAACTGCCAACCCAGTACATGAACACACGTTGATTACGGTGTTCATGCAAGGGCTCGCAGAAGGGCCCGTCAGGAGCCATCTGTTCCGCCTTGAGCTGAATAAGCTTGAAGAAGCAATATCAGCCGCGGAACAGGAAGACTTTAGCATGAGACAGGCTCATGCTAGCTCAAACTCTTATCTTCTACCGAGACGACAAGAGATCGGAGTTCCAGAACCAATGGAACTCTGTTATGTTGAGAGCGAGAGACCTCGCTCTTCAAACAACAAGCGATTGCAGAGGTGCAATCGCTGTCAGAAGTAAGGGCACTACGCATACGAGTGTAGTGCTCCACGCCCAGTACCAAACAGTACTGATCGAAATGGTCGTCCATTTGCCAGAAAGGGCAATGGGCGTGGGTCCAGCGCTGTTGCGAAGCCGCAACAGCGAGACGGACCATCAAAAAATGGTCGGGGTCAGTAGGGGCGGAGCGCCCTACTGATCCAGCAACCTCAAGAGAATTTTCAAATCTCTTGACGAAAGTTGCTCCAGATACACAATCGTTGTGTGTCTCTGCACCTTATGATGACGTTTCGCTCATCACCTTGAAGTTGGAAGCGACAAATGATTTGTCGCTTCGTGCCCTAGTAGACTGTGGGGCGTCGAACAACTTTGTTCGTCGCCAGTCACTAGAGGGTCGTAGGCTCAAGTTCGTTGAGCGCGACATTCCCCTCACGAGGATGACGGTGCGCCTTGCAACAGGCGCATCGATTACCGTTGAGAAACGTGTAGTAGGAATCCACTACACGTTAGAGGGCGAACAGTACGATGATGACTTCATCGTACTGGATCTGGATGACAAATTTGATGTCATCCTGGGATTACCTTGGCTCAGCAAGTACGAGCCAAGGGTGAGCTGGCAGCATCGATCCGTGAAGATGCCTGCCGCTTGTTCAATAGATGGCCATCTGATGAACGTCATGGAGCGTCCACAAGCGTGTGTATGTTCTGCAAGTGAGTGCGATGGCCTCACTTGCGGCACGATCGTTCGCACGACCGCACAAGATCACAGTATAGTTGATCACTACACTGTGGAGCAAGCTCCTGGCAGCTGTACAGGAGTACAGGCTGCGCCGAAGGTCCACCACTCAAATAAGTCGACTGGACCGGGACATGGATGCATGCCTAGCGGGCAGCATATTAGACAAAAGAAACCTGTTGCCCCCAAAGGGCAACATGGACATCTTAGGTCTACTGGAGAGTAGACCGTAGAGGATCGGTACCTGACTGTGGTTGCACAGCCACAGTCAGAAGACGTCGAGGGAATACGTACCCACGTACTTGAGGAAGGAATTCCTCAAGAGTCACTTGCTGAAGGATTATGCCTTCAGCAACCTGTGAAAGCAAGTTCCTAGGAAGAAACCGAGACGTTGAACGTCTTGGTTAATGGCGGATCAAGCGTAGTCGCTTATACACTTGATCTGATTGTGCCTCCGAAGTTAACTTCGGAGATAACTCAGTTGCCAACGCTAGAACCGAAACGGTTCTTGCGTGATCTGCGTAGTGGCAAAGTCAATCAGATCTGCATACTCGTCACAGAGGATGAGTATGTGGCCAATATTCGGTCGGCAACAGTATTTGCTCAGAACGAACGGCTTCTCAGCAGCTCATCGATGGACGAAAGTGTACTCGATGAGAAGACTCGGATTGAGCGATACACGTCTCAATCCTGGGAGTCACTTCAGGCAAATCCTTTGTATAAGTATTTGATCGAATTCAAGGATGTGATCCCTGAATCCGTACCGTGCTAGTTGCCTAAGGACAAAGGCACTCGACACGAGATCGAGCTCGGACCGGGCTCGAAGTATTGTGTCATTAAGCAGTGGCCACTGCCTCGTGAACAAGTGCTAGCGATCGACAAGTTCTTTGCCGATCGCTTAACAGCGGGCCATGTGAGGGAATCAACATCCCCTCACAGCTCTCCTACCTTCTGTGTGCGAAAGGCCACAGGAGGATGGCGGATAGTGCACGCATTCAACAAATTGAATGCTGCAACGGTACCGGCTCAGACGCCGATACCGAGGAAGGCCGTAATCATAGATGGTATGTCAAAGAGTACCATCTTTTCGTTTATGGATCTGATGGATGGATTCTATCAGATTCTCAACTGGTCATGGAATTCCGTATACAGCAGTGAGCACCCCCAGCGGTATGTTGTGGGCGTGGCTAGTGATGCCACAGGGGCTGAGTAATGCCCCTGCTACTTTCAACAGATGTGTTACAAATCTGTTGAGACCACTGCGAGACTTCGCACCGAGTTACTTTGACGATGTGCTCGTCCATAGCCGGGCTATGGACGGAAAGATGGACGTTGAAGTTCGTAGAACTCACGTTCGTCAGGTTCTTCAACTTATGCGCAAGCATAAGTTGTACGCAAACCTCAAGAAGTGTATATTCGCGGCTAGCGAAATACCACTTCTCGGGTGCATCGTGGGTAAACACAGCGTACGCCCTGATCCCGAAAAGATCAAGGCGATCACCGACTGGCCAGCGCCAGTCGATGTCAAGGGACTAAGGAAGTTCCTTGGCCTAGCGGCGTACTTGCACAAGTTCTCGCGCAACTACGCCGAGATGACTGTTCATCTTTCTTGCTTGCTCAAGAAAAATATCAAGTGGTCATGGAACGCTGAGTGCCAGCGTTTCTTTGAGGGTATCAAGCAAAGCTTGATGCAATCGCCGATCTTGGCGATTGCAGATCAGGACAGACCATTTCATGTGGTCTGTGACGCCAGCGATTTTGCAATCGGCTGTGCATTAATGCAGTTCGATGCAGATCGCGCGGAGCGCGTCATCTGTTATCAGTCGCGTCAGCTGCAAGCAGCTGAGCGCAATTACCCAGTGCATGACAAGGAACTCCTTGCCATGAAGTACGCACTGGCTAAGTTTCGCGTCTATCTATTGGGAGATAGACCGTTTATCGTCTACACGGACCATGCGTCATTACGCACGGCCGTAAAGAGCCCACACCTCTCGCAAAGGATGGCGAGGTGGCTGTCTTTCTTCGCGGAGTATAACTTCTCCGTGGAGTATAAACTAGAAAGGCTAAACGTCGTTGCTGATGCGCTCTCGCGCCGACCCGATTTCGAGCCGGACGCACAATCCAACAGTGAGGATAAGCCCACTGTTGCGACACTGAGAGCCAGTGTTCCGTTGTCAAGCTTACTTGACGACGTACGAAAGGCATACGCAGAAGATAAGGATCTTTTGCGATTGATGGATCATCTGGTGAATACATCCAGTACTTTATTGAAGGTTTTACCGGCTTTGTACCGACCCTCATCGGATCGGTATAGTACACGCAACGGACTGTTATATTATACAGCTGTTGCCGACGACACGCCTCGTGTCGTATTCCCCGCTCATGATGATTTGCGTTTACGCATCATGTCCGAATGTCACGATGCCCCAACGGGTGGTCATCGTGGGAGGTAAAAGAATTACCTCACGGTAAGTCGTGACTTTTACTGGCCTCACCAGTATCAGTTTGTACGCAAGTACATACGTGCTTGCGAGGTTTGTCAACGGGTGAAGCCTAGCCCTTTATCCCGTGCGCCATTGCAGCCTCTGCCTGTTCCGACAGAGTGCTGGCAGTCCGTTTCAATGGACTTCGTCTTCGGTT